TTTTCCCTTGTTTTGTTTTGAGATGGGTTTCACTAAGTTGTCCAGTCTGGCCTTGAATATTTGATCCTTCTGTGTCAGCCTCCCTGGTAGCATGTGCTATTATGTCCAGTGCCTCAGCTTTGCACCGGCCGCTTCTGCTGCCTGGAATGCTTTTATACCATTTTCTACCTGGATAACTTGTGGTCCTGAAAAGATCAGCTCAGACATTGCCTCTTTCAGAAACCTTCTGGAATCTCCACTACTGTGGGTGTTTCCCTCTGTCATACCCCACCCCTATATCATCCATCAGACGGGAAGCTGCAGAGACCTTGGGCTATGCCTTTTAGTATTCTCATTGCCCGGCATGCAGTGGACCAGGCATGCAGTAGGAGCAGAACAAATGCTCCTACAACTGACCATACTCAGTGTGTTCCTCAAGCATTTATTCAGGGCATGCAGAGCATAAAGGGACAGGGTATGTGCCAGGCATCAGAAGACCTGGTTTATGCTAGGGAGATAGCTCAGCAGCATATCCTGGTAAGCGGCAAGGTCCTGAGTTTGATCCTTGGCACAAGAAGAAAGATCCTTGCATCACAGAAGAAGGAGAAGCAGAAGAAGAGGGAGAAAGAGGAGGAGGAGGAGGAGGAGAGAGAGAGAGGAAGAAGAAGAAGAAGAAGAAGAGAGGAAGAAGAAGAGAGGAAGAAGAAGAAGAAGAGGAGGAGGAGGAGGAGAAGAGGAAGAAGAAGAAGAAAAAGAAGAAGAAGAAGAAGAAGAAGAAGAAGAAGAAGAAGAAGAAGAAGAAGAAGAAGAAGAAGAAGACTACGACAACCTGGTTTTCAATCTTAGCAATGGCAAATCTAGTTGTGATTACTCAATGCATTCATCTGTTAAATAGGGCAATATTTTCCTCCCAGTAATTCCTTCAAATGAGTACACAGGAGACTTGGCAAGTAGAGGCCTTGTCATGAGCATGGTCATTTCCCACATCTGAACCCAACAGGAAGCTCCCAGGGGTACAGGCAAGGATTTGGGTTTTTCATACCCACCCCACTACTTACTTGAAACCCAAGAAGAGAATCTGTAGCCATAGCCAACACAACAGCAGCAAGATGACCATGGAGGGGAAGGCAATGCCAAACCAAGAGGCAAAGTTCACGATGTTGGGGTTTTCAGGGAAGATCCTGAAGGAGACATGGGCTGCTATGTGACACTGCCCAGGCAACCATGACCCCATTTGCCTTCCAGGGAGAGTGCATCCCACTCTGTTGGGGGCTGCCTTCTGCCACTCACGAGTTCAACTGGCCTTGCAGCACCAGGTTGGGTGTGGTGCCGGTCAGTGTGGCAATGCCCCCGATGCTGGCTGAGTAGGCGACGCATAGGGACATTCCCTGAGTAAAGCGGAGCTCCTCCTTGGTCCTCTTGGTTGTTGACTCTGAATGAACAGGTGTGACCTGGCCATTTTCTGGGAACAAGGGAGAGCTCAGGTGGGGACAGGTACAAGTACAGCTCTGGGGGACTTGACTGGGGCTCCATGGCCTCAGGGCACCTTCTTAGTGGACAACTGAGAAGTGGGCTGGGAGGGGCACAGAGGCCATCCCCAAATCTAAGCAAGTGAGGCATTCCCTGGAGCCTCAGGTTAGGGTACCCTCACATACCATCTGGCTCAGCCTCTTTTGAAGAATGGGAAACCAGAGAAGAGAAGAGGATTATCCAAACCAGGCAGGAGAAATGGACACCAGACCCCTTGCTGCCCACCCAGACTCTAGCTCTCCTCTTGCTGGAGTGACCATGCTTCTTGGGCTGTGAGAATTCCGAGCACACGAGTCTTATCATTAATAAATAAATTCACATATCTAAGATCCTGTGAATCAAACCTAGGGCTTTTCACATGCTAAGCAACTGCTCTACCACTAAGCTACTCCCCAAGCCTATGGGTCTTGGCATTTTAAAACAAGAAAAGTTCTGAGCCATCTGGACCACGTTGGTGCCAGAGCTCTTGCCTCACTCTTCCCTCCCCGGCCTCCAAGATCATCATCACCCTTGGGAATAGTCAGGTCCCTCAGCCCCTGTACAAGAACTAAGGGCAGGGCCTGACTCTTCTGTCTTACCAAGCTTGGCCACCTCCTTCTGGGAACTTGGCTCCTGAAGCTCGAAGGTGGGGTTGTCGTTCTCTCCCTTGATGTCCTTTTGTGTACTGTGCAGCTGCTCCAGGACTGCGTGAGCAATGGGCACCATCATGGCTGAGGTGGCTGTGTTGCTGATCCACATGGACAGGAAGGCTGTGACCACCATGAAGCCCAGGATCAGCCTAGAGACCGACAGACGCGCAAATCATCATTCCAGCTTCCCTTCAGGCGCCGGGTGTCCGGAGTGCCCCTGTACTCTGCTCCTCCCACCATGGTGTGTGGAAACTCACAGGGCAGGCCGTGTCCCAATGAGGAGGAGTGTCCGGAGGGCGATGCGTTTGTGCAGGTTCCAGTGCTCCACAGCAATGGCCACCATCAGCCCCCCGATTGTTAAGATACTGGTGTCCTTCAGATACTCAATGCAGACCTGCCAGGCATGGACGTGACTGAGGTGTAGGAAGCTGCTGGGTTCTCTCACAATGCCCTGGGCCTTCAAGGTGCAGCCCCTGACATCTCTCCACAGCAGCATTCCCTGGGCTCTTGAATGGAAATGGCTTTTGGATTATCTGCCATTTGATATTAACCAGGGTCCCCTATTCTCACCAAATTCACTCTTTCCTCAGGATAATTGGGAAACAACCTGGCCTGATTCATTCATGTTTCAAGCGATGGCTTGGGAAATAGAGAGATAGAGCATTTCACGCTCCTTCTAGAAAGGGAAGCTAGTTATCTAATGTACACCTGTAATCCCAGCTATTCAGGAGGCTGAGGCAGGAGGAGTGCCATGAATTCTTTTCTTAGCTATCTCTGTTGTCCTGCCCTCTCTCTCCACCCACTACATGGTGAAATCCTGTCTAAAAAAAAAAAAAAAAAAAGAAAGAAAAGTAGAGCAGTGTATAAGAGTGACCCTTGGGCCAATGTCATTATCATTGGAACTTGTCAGAAATACTTAGCCAGGCACGGTGGCATACACCTGTAATCCCAGCACTTGGGAGGCTGAGGCAGGAGGATTGCTGTGAGTTCAAGGCCAGCCTGGACCACAAAGTGAGTTCAAGGTCATCCTGAACCACATAGTGAAACCCTGCCTCAAAAAGATCAAAAAAGAAAGAAAGAAATGTTTAAACCCCATCTCAGATCTACTGAGACAGGCTCAGGTATAGGGCTCAACCTTCAGTTTTACCCAGCCTTCCAGAGCTTAGAAGCCACTGAACTTGAAATGCAGTGTATAGTCAACCCTCAGCATCTGTACATACAACCAAACTTGGATGGAAAATATTTGAAAAAAATCACACTTATACTGAACATGCACACATTTTTCCTCATTGTTCTTCTCTAAACAATACAGTCCAGCAACTATTTACATTGTATTAGGCATTAGCAGCAATCTAGAAGCAATTTAAAGTATACTGAGGATGGGCATAGGCTATGTGCAAATACTATGACACTTTATACACGGGACTTAGGCATCCTCAGATTTTGGAATGAACCAAGGACCCTGCACTAATCCCTATGATATCCATGAATGATACTATAAATGCTTCAGCTGGACTGTTCTTTTTTTTTCCCTTCTCTTTTCTTATCTCTGTCTTTCTCTCTTCTTTTGTTCATGTGGTACTGGAGATTGAACCCAAGACCTTTGCTCTGAATAATATCCCCAGCCATTTTTATTTTTAATTTTGGGTCAAGGTCTTGTTAAGTTGCTAAATTCCCCAAATTGGGCTTGAATTTGCTGTCCTCTTGCCTCAGCCTCCTAGAGTTGGGATTACAGGCATGCACTACTATGCCTGACTTCAACTGACTGATGAGGATCTTCTCGTACACCTGGCCTTGTACCTCCCTGGTCAAGCTAACCAAGCCCTCTTTGGGGAAGTCACATGAACATCTCGAAGGCTCTCCACTTGGTCTTCTAGCTAGTCTTCCTTCAGCGCTCGCTGAGCTGTCAAGCAGAGGCAGTGTCCCTTCTGTGAACCCTGTCTTTGATGAAGCATCCTTGCTCACCAGGGCCCTAGGAAGACCCCTCTCCCGGGGAGCCCTTACTTCTGTGGATGTGAGGAGCTTACCTCAGAGGCTTCCATGATGCCCATCAGAGGGAACAGGAAGAGAGGGAAGAAAGCGGTGACAGCCAGCGGCAGGACCTCAGTGCACCAGAAGATCGCCATGAGGATGAGGGTGTAGGCACAGTAGGCTTCCTGTGGGCGGGAAGGGAGCAGAAGAGTTGTTAGAGGGGCGGGTCCATGTCCCAGAGAAACCAGGCCACTTGTCACACACAACATGGGTAGAGCCTGTGAAATCCATGGATTCCTAAACCCGAGGTCACATTTTAAAATGGGGGTGGGCATGCCTATAATTCCAGCATTCGGAGGCCGATGCAGGAAGACCATTGCAAGTTTAAGACCAGCCTGGGCTACAAAATGAGCTCAAGAATGCATAGTGAGGCCCTGTCTCGAAAAAGTGCTTGCCTGGCAAGCACAAAGGCCCGAGTTCAATCCCTGGTTCTGGGAAAAAAGAAAAAGAAAAGAAAGAATGAAATGAAATGAAATAAAATAAATGGGGATGGGGAAGAGCACACCTTATCTTTGTTTTAACCTTGGGGGCCCAGACATTATGACCCAGCCTCACCAGTGTCTGGAGTTGGCTCTGAGGCCTCACCCAGCCCCAGGGGGCTGCAGGGCACCCAGGTGAGGATCCTGAGATGAGACGAGGGTAGCCAGACAAAAGAGCAGACTTAGGCAACACAGACCCTGCAGGATACTCTCACCTTCCCTAGTTCTTCTTTTTTTCAATTTTATTTTTTACTGTAGTTAGTGCAGGGTCAACAGGTTCTCATTACACAGCTTGGACTCATAGTGATTGACACACCTGTTTTCAGCCTCCCAGGTGCTGGGATTACAGGTGCGCGCCACCACGCCCAGTCTCAGTGTGCTCTGGGGGCAGGACTAGCATGGCATGTGGGGCTGGGGATCCAACCCAGTCCCTACACCTGCCTAAGCAGGTGCTTTAAACCGCTGAGCTATCTGGCCTGCCCTCTTTCCCTAGTTCATATCACTGCCTGTAAGACTGTGTTTATCTGTATGACTGTTTAGTGTTTGTTTCTTCTGCCAAGTGGCATGTTCAAAAGGCCACAGTTTTGTGGCATCTAGATCCTTGGAGCTCAGTACTCAGGAGGCTCTGGAGCAAATCTTGTCTGAATGAACACATCATGCCAAGTCTTAGGCATGCCAGGAGGCCTCCTTCCTAGCAATCCTAGCCTGGCTGCTGCAGGACACAACCCCAGAGGTTCCATTCCAATACTGGCTGTATAGAGGTTCCCCCATCCCTGCATTGTGCAAGGAAGAGTGGGGCAGCCCCAAGGGATCGCCTTGGGTATCCGAAATCATGCTTTCCCTCACAAGATCTCGGGTCCAGAAGAGCCTGACCTCAGGCCCACACGAGACAGGAATGAACGCCAGACAGTCGGGCACCAGGTGTCAGGGGCCTAGGCTCCTCAGCTGCTCTCTGAGGATTGAGGAATCATTAGCCAGAGTAGGCCTCCGGGAGAGGGGGCACCTGCCCACTCTGTTTACCAAAAGAAAGGGCAGCATGAAGGAATTAGCTGGCCTGAGCTGTGGCCCCTTCTTCTCTTCCCTGTCTCAGTCGTCCTGCCCTCTCTCTCCACCCAGTACAAGCTGCCCTCGCCTCTTAGTACTTCACAGTCACAGTGTCCTGAATCCCTGGGGTAGGCAGAAGTGGTGGCCTTGGGGAAGAGGAAGCTTCTGATTAATGAGCAACTCTTAGGAGCTAGGTCACGTAAGAGCCCTTAAGGTGGGTGTGGTGGTCTCACTTTATGGACGACATCTGCAAGTGAGCTTGCTCAAGGTCGCACAGCTGGGGAGGGGCAGAGCTGGGATAGGATCTCAGGTAGGGGATCTGGGTTGCGCAACTCCAGGTGCTTCCCAAGGGCACTCGCCTTGCCGTGGATGGCCAGGTGCCCTGGAGTTGCGCAGTGTGAACCCTGTGCACTGCACAGAGCCTGCGTGGGACCAAGACTGGCTGACAGCAAGCTCTCTTTCTGCTACCTGCACCCAGTCTCCTTGAACTTGAACTCGTCAGCTCCAGGGGTGGGGCCTCTCTGACCCTCGATCAGCGATCCACCCCTCTCCTCCCCCTGTAGGATTCTGCTGATGCTGGTGTTCATTCACCCACTTCGTCGCCTGCAGCAACCGGATGGCCAGATATTTAACCTCCCCTTGAGCTAAGGGCAAGCCACTCCCCTGGACCCTGGAGTCTCCCATTTCTTCACCCAGAACTCTCTAATCAGACCTAAAAGGGGACCCCAGGGGAGGAGTGGTCACTGTGCTGATTCATGAAGAAAGCTCTGGCCCGTCTTCAAGGCACACCCCCATAATTCCAACACTGGAAGGCTGAGGCAAGAGGATCACCACAAATTCGAAGCCAGCCTGAGCTACATAGTAAGTTCAAAGCCAGCCTGTACTACATAGTGAGACCCTTTCTCAAAAAAAGCCAAACAATGGTGATTGTAAATAGGATCTCAAGTCCGCATCTTGTACAGCAATTCACCACTAAGAAGAACATATGCAGTATGTTATTTGTTGAAACTGTACTTCTGATTTGATTTGAAACTGTCTCATTACTGTTTATCAATAAAATTTTGGAAAAAAAAAAGCCAAACAAACAAATAGAAAAGCAAAAGACCAAGAAGTAAGCTCTGCAGAAGGAGACTACTTTGTGTTTTATGTACCCCAAGTGTTTTTTAAACTCATATTTAGTTTCTCCGGGAGGTACTGACTGTTGTTTGCATTTCACAAGGGGGAAACAAAGATGCAAATAAATGTCTCAAAGTCACATAAGGCCAGGTGTAGTGGTGCTGATAGGTTTTTCGGCAGTAGGAAAGATAAAGAAGGCTTTACTAACTCCACAGACACGGAGAGGATTGAGGGCAGATGGGGCAGGCAGATCCTCCGGCCTGAAACAAAGCAAGCTGGGGCTTTTGTGGACTTCTGCTAGGGGTGGAGCGTAAGGGGCATGTTTAGAAATAGCTGAGAAGCTGACTGGTGCCTTCTCTGGGGTAGCAGGAAGGGTGAAAGGAAACTGCACCCTGGGCTGGGTTGGAGAAGAAGGGTGGAAGTGATCTCTGGGAAGACAAGCTGTTGTTTTAAGGGCTTCAGCCATATTAGATGACCATTAAGGGGCCAAGGGGATGGCTCAGTAGAATAAGTGCTTCCCTGGCAAGCACAAGGGCCTGAGTTCAATCCCTGGTTCTGCCAAAAAAAAAAAAAAGCAAAAAAAAAAAAAAAAAAAGCTAAGTGCTTAGATGACCATTAAAATAATTCAGTAATTCAGAACCTATCAGCATACTCCTATAAT